TGCACGAAGTATTTCGTGCCCTAGTGCGCGAAATATTTCGTGCACGTCGTTAAGGTAAATAAAACAAATGTGACATTTTTCGAACGGAAATGAGTGTGAAAATGTCATAATTTTTTGACGTCTGTAGAAAATAGTTATTTTTGTATCTAGTGCGCGAAATTCTACTTTGGTGATCGAGATCTGATTTTTTTAACGAGACGCAGTCGAGTTAAAAAAATAGTCAAGATCTTCAAAGTATTTCGCGCTCGAGTTGCAAACAATATTTTTTCTGCAACTCTATTTAAATATCGATCATTCGAAGCTAAAATTGCATTACAATCAAAAGCAGGTGAATTTTAATTATTTTTGGTTTCCTGACAGGTATGTGTCACCATGACACCAGTGTGCGAACTAGCTATTTCGCGCACTAGTGTGCGAAATAGCTAGTTCGCGCACGGCGTCATTGGAACATTAAAAAATTAATACCCGGGAATAATAGTGTCACTTCGCGAAATGTCGAGTGTGCGAACATCATCATTTTTTGACAGTTGTAGAAAAATAGTATATTATATACCTAGGTAGAGAAGTTGGTCATTATATACCGAAAGCTTTTATAAACCGAGGCGCGCAGCGCCGAGGTTTATAATGCTTGAGGTATATAATGACTCTCTCTAGAATAGATATAACTTCCTATGTACCTACAGAAACCTGCATTTTTTTTTCAAATTGACGTATGAAATTGAAATTGAACCAATAGAAACATGACAATATCCTTGCGTCATGACGTCATTTTCATTATTAACCTAGGTATTTTTTCATTATTTTCATTATTAACCTAGGGAGAGAAATTCAATTTTTTCTTAGAAAAATACATTGAATAATGTCTATTTCTCAGGTTAGTAGTAAAAAAATATATTTATTGATATTTTTCAAGGTGAATTGATGTCATATCGGTCTAAAACTATATTTTTCGAAATGTTCTTTTTCAAGTTATATACAATAAACTATATTCATGCCTGCATTGCTAAGACAAACTTTAACTTTGAAACTTTGGCAGCTATTTTCAAAAACTTCATTTTTTGACCTTAATTGATTTTTTTGAGGGCATCCAAAGGTCACAGCGGTCTAAAACTATTTTTTTATTATTTTGCGTCCCCGAAATATACAGGGTGTCCCACGACGTTTCTCCCAGGTGATAACTTCGGAACGCGTCATCCAATATAATTGAAATTTTGAGGATCTAGGTAACTTTTTGTGCCGCTTCTACCATTGTCATCCAATTTCACCATTTTTGCTTCAATTTCGGTTAAGTGACGTCAACTTTTCAATTTTAAATGTAACTCATGGTATATTATGGCATTTTTCGTTAGAAAATTAAATTACGAAATCGGCTATGCCATATTTGTTAAGACTTTTTTAAAGGATATGACAGAAAATTATACAGTGGAACATACGAGGATGCGTTCCGAAATTATCATTTGGGAAAAACCTCGTGAGACACCCTGTATAGACTAGAGCATAATCAAGCTTGTCTACCCAGAATAAAAATTGAGATTGAAAAATTGACCGACATTTTGAAAAAATGGCGATTTTTATAGTACCAATGAGAAAAGTCGATGGGTCCTCGACTCAAATCGATTAAAATGGTCTACTTAACAACTGTACCAAATTTCATGCTTGTATCATCAAATGGCGTTTTTTTTCGCTAAGCAACCGTACAAAAAAGTAAAAACTGTCTCAATGTGGCCTACCCTTCCCTACTTTTCTGTCATCATGTCCAGTAGAGCCAATTCAAATTCTAATGATGAAGCTCCTTTTTTAGAATAGATACAAATTTGACTCGAACATTTGTATGATGCTCCTAAATATTCACCAAGGAAAGGAGGCTGTGTGGATGTGTCCAGATAAGAAAAGAAACAATAGTATATTGTTTATTTAGGTGGAAAAGTGACACATTTTCGGCCGACGGTGTAAGTTGACGGGCGAGGCGTAGCCGATGCCGGCAAAGACCGAAGGCCGAGAATGTGCTTTTCCACCGAAATACACATACCTACTATTTTTTCTGCGATCGGTTAAATACCTGTTAAATGTTTGTCTTTTAGTTCCAATTATTCCGCAATACGAGAATCACTTTCCCGGCCTAGGCCGGAAAAGTGTTTCCCGTATTGTTATTCATTGATTCCTTAGCAACTATTGAAACATAATTGAAATACCAGAATATTGAGTTTTGCGACCTGTCAACCGGTCAAAAATGCTGTCATTTCTTGTCAATCGCAGAAAAAGTGTATTTCATGCAAATTTTGTTTATCGAAATTCAGCTTAGTAGAGCGCTTTCGGCTTTCGCCATCATCAGTACTACCTGCAAGCGAGCGAAGAAGAAATTCATAATGGAGCAGTTGTAAATATGTATACCGGGTGCCCACGAGATCACTTTCCGGCTGCCACTTTTTTATTTGTCTATCGATATCAACAAAACTTGGTAGGGTTGAAATTCTAACCAAACGCCATTTTTATGCATTCATGACAAGTTTTCCAGTATGGATAGTGTTCTACGTTCTGCAAAGAATAGCCATTTATATAGTTAGGTATATTTGGGGCTTGGGGATCAGTGCCCGGTGCGAATTGGTGCAGAGTCTGCGTTTGAAGTTGACTTGGCCGATTCTCCTGTATGCTTGGTTGAATGCGTTGATAATTGCCTGAATTGGTCATCACGACGTTATCCGCATATTGAAGTTAAATTATCGATGTCGTCGATACTTATTTCGTCTTAGCTCGTAATCTGCTTAGGTTCATGTTAAGATCACAAAAAATAAGCTATGTACATACGTCAAAAAAACAGAAATATCCAAATAATCAAATACAAAGTGAACTACATGCACTAGACCTCCATTTGACAAACAGATAAAACTTACATAAATATCAGAGGTCATTGAGCCACTGGGCTCTATGGCCTCTATACATACAATACAATTATCAAAATGAAGAAACGTACAATAAACACTATTGAATAAGACAAAAATACCTGCTTAAAATATTCTTCATATGAATAAAACACATTTGAAATAAGAATTTGTTTCACTCATTCCTCAAATAAATAATTTGGTAGTTCTTTAATTTTCATGGGCCAAAACATTAAAATTAAACTTTATATCCCAATAGCCCGCGCTATTCTGACACCTCTTCAGTCGAATATAACCTGGTATTATATTTCTTCTGTTTCTGTTGGGATAAGCATGTTCGGCATGTAGGTATGTCCTCGTGAGTCGGAAATAGATGAGTATTCTTCTTTATATAGAGCAAATTTTCCAGAACATACACAGATAGCAGGGTATTCCCAGCTGTTTTACAGTGACTCGATAAACCTTTTTTGTGCTACCCATTCTGTAAGTTGACTTTTTTGACCTACCCCAAGTAGCAGGTGAATATATCTAGTATATATCAATAATATATTTTGAATATATATTGAATACATTTGTATAAATATTATATTTATATTGAAAAAATATATATATTATATATATATTCAAATTATTTTGAAAAAACAGCCGAGAAAAAATCTCAAATTATATTTTATACCTGTTAAAAATATATTATATTCCTATCATATATATATTTTAAATATATATATTTATTTTGGTGAATATATTTCAGAAATATATTATATAACTATATTAAATATTCTTGATATCAATTAAATATATATATCTTATCAATTCAAATAAATTTATATAAAAAATATATAATATATATTACAAGCACCTTATTTTATATATATTTAAAATATTAAAAAAAAAACAGTTGAGAAAGATTCCTAATTTATATTTTATACAAGTTATAAATTTATTATATTCGTGTCATATTTATATATTTTAAATATATCTATTTATTTTGGTAAATATATTTTAGAAATATATTATATAATTATAATAAATATTCTTGATATTTATTGAATATATATCTTATCAACTCAAATAATGTTATATAAAAAATATATAATATATATTACTAGCACCCTATTTTATATATGTTTAAAATATTTAAAAAAAAACAGTGGAGAAAAGTTCCTAAATTATATTTTATTCATGTTAAAAATATATAATATTCCTATCATATATGTATTTTAAATATATCTATTTATTTTGGTAAATATATTTCAGAAATATATTATATAATCATAATAAATATTCTTGATATTTATTAAATATATATCTTATCAACTCAAATAATTAATAATTTTGTATAAAAAATTTATAATATATATTACTAGCACCTTATTTTATATATTTTTAAAATATTTAAAAAAAAAAAATTAGAGAAAAATTCCTAAATTATATTTTATTCATGTTAAAAATATATTATATTCCTATCATATATATATTTTAAATATATCTATTTATTTTGGTAAATATATTTCAGAAATATATTATATAAACATAATAAATATTCTTGATATTAATTGAATAAGTATATATCTTATCAACTGAAATAATTTTATATAAAAAATATATAATATATATTACAAGCACCCTATTTTATATATGTTTAAAATATTTTTAAAAAAACAGCCGATAAAAATTCCTAAATTATATTTTATTCGCGTTTAAAATATATTATATTCGTATTATATATATCTTTTAAATATATCTCTATATTTTATGATCAATATTTACCTACCTACTTAATTATAATAAATAATATTGATTTTCATTAAAAACCTACATAATTTATCAATTCAAATAATTTTACATAAAAAATATATATTATATCATATATTAGGTATATATTTTTAGCACGACCAATAAGTATATTATATCTTCACAATCTGCCGCCAGGTGGCCGCAGTATTGCCAGATTCCTTGCAGTCACCAAGATCATATTTAATAAATAAAAATTGAAACTTTTATTTTTTGAACGGGAAAAAATAAAAAATATACAAAATATGACTAAAATATTCCAAAACCTTGGATTTCAATGTATATTGCCAAATTTTGTTTCATTTTCACTCTAAACAAACCATGCAGCCGCACCTTTTCTGTGCCAAAAACTATAATACAAAATACAATCCCAATTACCGGTGGCTACTCGGTTGATTGATGATGGGTTCAGCAAAAAAGTAGTGACAAAATATAATGAAACGTCGGATTTCAATGCAATGCGCTAAATAAAAATCACTTTTATATTCTACATAAAAGTCGCAAGACTAAACATTCAAAATTGCCCAATCTGACAACAATGACTGTTCGGCCATCTTGCTTGCCCATCTTCCACCGCGCCACCGCGGGCCGCGCGCCGGCACCGCGGCCACCCTCTGCTCGAGTGCTCGACTCCAAGACCGTACAGCCACATGCAATGCGCATTGGATCTTGGAATTAGCTGAATATAAACGTGTTTCCTGATTTCTCTAATTGTCTCTCTAATAATATAAAGTAAACTTTGTGGTCTTGTGATTATGGTGAAATAAAATGAATAATGGCATAATGGTAAGTGCCAATATTATATTAAATTAATCAGTTACGAGTACCTAGTTCTTTGTTAGTCTGTGTTTACAGTAGGTAGGTACAAGAAATAAAATAAAAGTTGAATAAATTGCAACTTCTTATTTCATTTTATTTTATGCGAAAATGAATTCATTTTTACTTATGCCTATCGAATTTTCGTTTTGTTTTCGAAAAATATCTACACATAACCACACTTTTGATTGGGTTTATTTATGCTTTTTTGTGTTTTTATGGTGTTGTCTTGGGTTAGATAGGTACCTATATAGTGTTTCTTATTTTATATTTGAATATCCAATAACCAATAAATGTCAACACATTTCTTGGCTTGGTAAAGCCGGCACCACACATGCGGCATCTGCCGAATAGCGAGCAACGAATGTTAATAACTTGTTTTAACTTCGGGGCTCACCTGTAGCTTTTGGTTTGGACACCCCCTGCTTGCTCCCTAGATCTATTAAACTTTCCACATTCAAGAGGATTGATACCCTACCTGCATTTTTGCAAAACTAGTTTGTGAATTGTGACTAAGATATTTGATGAAAAGTCATGAAATTTTGCATCTGCTTGGGGAATTAGTCACAGGTCTCAGAATGGTGGAAAGTTGTTTAGGAAAAGAAACTACCCAATGGAGTTTTTTGGCGACCCATTAAATGCGAGGTATAGGGCTGCCAATCACTTTCCACCTTTCCACTAATCCTCCATGCACATGCAAAATTTCATGAATTTTTATCAAATATCTTAGTCACAATTCACGAACTAGTTTTTCTAAAAATGCACTGAATGCAGGTAGAGTATCAGGCCTCTGAATCATTTTTTGTGAATCTATAGTTTTCCTTTATCCTGTAAAAGGGTTACTTTTGAGTTTACTGTTTGTGGTTTAAAATTTATTGTTGTTTTCTAGATTGTTTTGTTATCAAATTTGGGTTAGTTTTTACCTTAGTATGTATTAAGTAGGTAAACTAATTTGAGATAAGGACAGGAATTATTTTGATTGTAGGTTTCAATGAGGTTATACCTAATTTTCACAATGATACCTTTTCATCTCCTGTCGAAATCTGGGAAACGTAATCGCTTAAAGACCTTTAGAGATTGCACAGAAAAGATGAATAATTATGAAAGTGACACTGATGTGGACGTTGATATCAAAAGATGTAAACTCTCCTGCGACTCAGCAGGCTTACCAACAAACAATTTGTCACAACTATCTTCTTCAAGTAGTGGCTCTGAGATTCTAGAAACTAGCTATTATGAAGAAAACCAAATTAATCCTGGTAAAAACAGTCCAAAAAATATTATAATTTCTTCTGTTAATAATTTTTGCCATGAGTCTGAAACAACTGAAGAAACTGTCTCGAATCCTGAAGATTTTATTGATCCAATTCAGGAAGAATGGTTTCCTACTTTTTATGGCTCAAGTGATGAATCATTATCCGACGAGGAAGAGTTAGTTGTTCAGCCTATTAAATCTACTAGTGTAACGGAGCAAACAAAACAATTTCTACGTGAATGGTCTTTAGAAAATAATATCACCCATAAAGCATTAGGTTCATTGTGCAAAGGTTTAAAATCCATTTTTGCTCTTGACTTAGATAAGCTACCTCTAGACCCAAGGACAATTTTAGAAACACCAACAAGCATTAATGCACTGTCAATTGGAAATGGACATTATATTCACATTGGTTTAAAAATTCACTTAAACTTTATCGCGTCTCTTGTTAAAAAGCCATTATCTTCTTTATCGTTAATTTTTAATGTTGACGGTCTCCCCTTATTTAATAACAGTACTACAGGTGAACTGTGGCCTATTTTAATGGCTGCACCATGTATTGAAATATTAAGCCACAAAGTTTTTCCGATTGGATTTTATTTTGGTGTCGGTAAGCCTGCAGATCTTGAACTATACTTTTCTGAGTTTCTCACCGAGCTTCAAGATGTTTTGACAAATGGATTTGTTTTTAATGATAGAAAAATTAATGTGATAGTTCTGGGATTTTATGGGATGTTCCAGCTCGCAGTTACATTATGGGAATAGTTGGCCATACAGGTTTTTTTTCTTGTGCTCGATGTACTATAAAAGGCAAAACTGTGGAACGTCGGAGAGTTTTTACTGAGCTAAACTGTCCGTTGCGAACCGATGAGCAATTTAGAATTCGTATGGATAAGTATTTTCAACCTATCGATAGGAGCACTCCATTAATAAATTTAAGGCCGAAATTAAATTTTGTATCGGACTTTATTTTGGAGCCTATGCATCTAGTTGATTTAGGGGTAATGAAAACTCTTCTGCAGGTATGGAATTCTGGGGGCATACCCTTACAGTTATCAGCAAATCAGAGGTCATTAATTTCTTTAGACTTGTTAAACTTGCGAAAATTTATACCTTTGGAATTTGCTAGAACACCTAGAGAGTTTAAAATTGTTGGCAGGTGGAAAGCAACAGAATGCAGAATGTTTTTGCTTTATTTGGGCATAGTAGTTTTAAAGGATAGACTAACTGGAAGCAAGTATGAACACTTTATTTCTTTACATCTAGCCATCTCCATTTTATCCCAGCCATATTTATGCTCTTTAAAAGAGAATCGTGAATATGCTAGACAGCTATTAATTTACTTTGTATCAAAGGTTCCTAAACATTATGCTGAATATTTATTGACTCACAATTTTCATTCACTTATCCATCTTGTAGATGATATGGATCATTTCATTAATCTTATCCCTAATTTTTCTTTGTCAGATATTTCAAGTTACCGGTTTGAAAATTTTTTGTATAGTTGTAAAAAATTGGTCCGAGGCAAATCCAAACCACTTGCCCAAATAGGACGCAGAATTGGTGAATTATTCCAAAGTGCGGCTCTTCAAAACAAATACGCTTCTACAAAGACTGCAGGCTTACATCTAGTTTCTCCTCACAATAACGGTCCTTTGATGGCGTTCACTTGTGGCCCTCAGTATAGTGCTGTTCAGATGTCAAATTTCAAACTTACCATTAATTCTCCTAACAATTGTTGCGGTTTGAAAAATGGAGACATTATGTTAATCAGAAATATTGCATACTCATTGGAGTTAAGACAGCAAGTCATTATTGGTACAAAGTTTGTGGGTTTAAGTGATTTTTATTCCTTGGGTGAATGTAAAAGCTCTTTTTTAAACATACATAAAGTCAAAAGGGTATCTGAAATATTAATGACACCTCTCTCAGAAGTAAACAAAAAGTATGTTTGCTTACCCTATAAAGACAGTTATGTTGTGATTCCTGTTCTACATTCTGAACTGTTGGTTTCAAAGTTCAACTTTTAAATTTTTTATCATAATTTTAATTAATATACATTACAACCTCGATTACCTTATATTTAATAATTTTTATTTAAAGAGCATTTTTCATTTTTCAAATCTTGAAATTATACCTTCACTACACTTCTTATTACCTTATTGTTAATTAGGTAGTTATATTTAAAAATAACTTTTTCACATCTTTCCCAAGTCCCCTGGCTGTCAAAAAAGTAATATGTGGAGCGTAATTAAAAAACGCGATGATCTAGAGTATGATGTTGTGCCCAACAGTTGGTTATGCTTGGAAAAAAAATGTTACTTTCCATCCCACATTAACAACTTGGCACAGTTGAAAAGAATGGTCCGAAAATGTGCACCAGTTGAATCTTCCTGGGAAGTTATGGAAATAGAGATAAAAAAACGCGACTATGGTAAGTTTTTTTTTCTTATTCTTTGGTCTGCCCTAAATTCTGTCACTTAGTTCCCAGGATTAACTTACACAATTCATGTTCCTCCATATGTTACCATATACCTACTTACTGATAAATTTAGAAGTGTAATGGCCGTTTGCACCAACGATTTTAAGGGAGCCTTAACGATAAGTTTTCCTTAATGTGACATTTTCCCATGTAAAAATTTCAATTTAAGCAATACTTATCGTTAAGGCTTCCTTAAAATGGTTGGTGCAAACGGCCATAAACCTCTTTGCTGTTTGTTCTAGTTTAAACTGTTTAGATTTTACTACCTGCTAAATTTAGTGAAATTTCGCGTTTTTTCACTTCGAAATCAATTGTGTTCACACTGAGAAAAAAATTTACCAAAACCAAGTCAAATTTTAAATATGGAAAATAAAAAAATTACCTAACTGTATTATGACACCTACACTTTTTAATTGCACCAATTAAATAAAAATGTCTGCAATAGTTTACTTGCTTTTTGATTTAAGTTCTAAGTGAACAAGTTAAATTAAAAATAGTTTACTTAGGATTATTCAACTTATCTGTGAAAACGTGTTCATGTTTAACTACAGTAATTAAATACATCTAAATTGAATAAACTTTTAATTTATATCAATTAAACTATTCTTCTAATCTATTAGGTGACTTCCGAGGTGACTTCTTTTTTTGGTTTAACAAAAACTAATCTATTAAATCATTTCAAATTTTTAATTAAAAAGCCCACGAATATACAGGGTGATTCAAAAGTAAGCGGCATCCTTTCGGGGGCGTATTCCTTGCATAAAAATAAGACAAAAAGTTCCTATTAACATGGGTCCGGAAATGCTTCCTAAGAGAGCTACGCACCTTCGAATAGGACACCTGAAAGACGTGTTTTTCTCTATAACTTTGAAACCTTTCACAAATGGATTTTGAAAATTGGTGTACTTCATAAACATTTGATGACAATTAAGATACCGAATTGGAAATTCAAAAATCTTAATCAGTGGCGTCACTACTGGGGAGGGTGAGGGCTAAAACATCCCTATTTTTTTTAATATTCAAGATTTTGCAATTCTGATTGAAAATTCGGAAAGTTTCAAGTTTTTTACACAGAAAAGGTACTCTTGGTTCAATTCGATACAGCGTACCGTTTACGAGAAAATTGACTTTGAAAATTTTCTGTTTTACGTTTTAACCCTCACCCTCCCCAGTAGTGACGCCACTGATCAAGATTTTTGAATTTCCAATTTAGTATCTCAATTGTCATCAAATGTTTATAAAATACACCAATTTTTGAAATCCATTTGTGAAGCGTTTCAAAGTTATAAGGTGTCCTATTCGGAGGGGCGTAGCTCCCTTAGGAAGCATTTTCGGACCCATGTTAATAGGAACTTTTTGTCTTATGTTTATGCAAGGAATACGCCCCCGAAAGGATGCCGCTTACTTTTGAATCACCCTGTAATTTTATTATCATCAGTTAATCAATATAAATTTAAACAGCGATTAGCTAAACTTTAATATGTATTAATTAATACATGTGTATTAGACATGTTTAAATCAAATCAGATTATTGATGCTAATAACACAATGCGTTTTATACACGTCAAAATCGATAGAAACATTAGGACTATATTATTATTCAAAATGCACTACATACATACTTTTACCTAAATTTGCGATTTGAATTCATAAATTTATCTGAATCAAGAAAAAAGAAATTGTTTTGTAATATGTATAGTAAGACGAATTGAAATAAGTAAATCTTGTAATTACAAATCTTAAAATAATTTCTTATTCTAAATAAACAGATTTAATAGTTTATTAAAACAATTTTTTTTTGAAATTTAGGGCTTTATTAAACAGGGTGTCTTGAATACCAAATCCCACTTTTGCTATCTCCAAAACGATAAGAGCTACGAGGTCGGTTAAATGTTAAATTAGAGAAAAGATTCCTTTTATGATGCCCGTTCAAGATTCGTCAACTTGATCTTTTTGAATACCGACCTGGATTTTTTATTTTAGATTTAAAGAGCTTCATATTTCCCATGGAAAGTGTTAATAATATGAATTTATCGCATAAGTGTGATATGTCATTGGTTTTGAGACATCTGAAGCTCTTTAATTTAAAATATCAAATTCAGGTCCGTATTTAGAAAAATTAAGTTGGTGGTGTTGGCTCGAATACCAAACGTCGGAGGTAAAATTTGGAGGTACTGTGTTTGAAAACTGAAAAGCGAACAAAATTATAAATCTTTCGATTTCAAATTGTGTCCCAAAAATCAATAGTTTCTGAAATAACCAATAAGATATTTTTAGCCGATTCTTATAAATAGTTCTGTAATTCCAGAAATTTACAGAAAATTGAGAACTCTATGAACGGATCATGAATAAGCATCAAAAAAGGGAAACTTTTCTCTAATTTCACCGACCTCATAGCTCTTACCGTTTCGGAGAGAGCAATAGTGGGACATTGTATTTAGGACACCCTGTATATCTATTTCCCACCGTTCGTTTTCAGAATCATACGAACGTGCAATGGGTGATGCGATACGCTTCTCAAAAAGTAAAAAATCCATTTCTTCCTCTGAGAATGAAGCCATAGGAAAAAGAAATCCCAAGAAACCAATTTACTCTGATGAGGATGTTACTGACGATGATGATATAAGTGAAATTGTTGACAAGCCCTCTACAGAATCTGAAGACGGTGACATGGCCAATACAACTCCAAAGGTTCCTATTCCACCAGCACCTACTTTACCATCAAAAAAAGACAATTCAGTACAAAAAACGGACAAACCACCACTATCAAAAACACATATTATTGACAATTTTGTGCCGCCAAGGATCGAAAAATGTGCACTTGCCAAAGGAAAGAATCATCATTGTGCTTGTGAGCAGCCTATCACAATGCAGTCTTTGGCTCACAGTTTATGTGCTATTTCACGTAAAACTAATAATTTATGTCTTGATTATATCACCTTATTTATAATTTATTTTAGGTCAAGTAGAACGATTGACATCTCAAAATAAAAATGCAAATCTAGAGACATTGAGCCAAATATCAGAGTTAAAATCACTGAATGGAGAAAAAAATGATAATAAACTGCCTGTTCTACAGGATTCTGACGAGGAAGCAGAGACAAACAAACTTCTGGAAAATATGCCTTTAAAAGAAATCCAATCTCTCAAAGATTTTGATTTAAAAATGAAATCAGATAAAAATTATTATCATGCCATGGTAATATTTTTATTTTATTTTTTATTAATAAATATTTTTGGTTGAATTTATTTCATAAGGATCTGTGAGGTAATCAATTTTAAAAACGTATCTTCTAATTGTAGATATCTGCTCTCCAAGTCCGGGCAAATACCAAATCGTCAGTTAAAACCGCTAGGAGCATTATTGGTCTGTTAATCCACCCCCAACTTTGCTCCAAACTATCCTGGAAGGGCGTACAAAGGAAGGATCACACTGATAAGAAAACATCGTTCAAAGACTTACAAACTTGCCATTTGATTTTTCGTAAGTTCCCTTATCGTTACTATATTATTTAAAAACAAAATGTGGAAGTTTGTCTTTAATAATTTTGAAATCCCCTCATTTAAACCTTTAAATTAATATTAATATCACAACCATTATACCTACTTACTGAAAATTATAGGGCATAAAAAAAATTAACTGACCATATTTAACAAAATAGGTTATAAATTTGAAAGAATACCAATTTTCAGCTCTTTTTCTTTTTATCAGGTGTCACAAGAAATCTTTTCCCAAATTTGAAGTCCGATGACGTGGCAAAAATTGAAACTAGCCTTTCAAACTGGCTGGCCCAAACTGGCTGTGCTGCCAAATCCAAGGACTTGGAGATATAGGCTTCTTAATTATCCAATTTTTTTGCATGGGTATATTTTTAAAAACTACTGTACCACACCGCTTAATGAGTATCCAGAGTCCTAGCGTTTTTGTTTGCAATATTTTTCACAATTCCTATTCCAGAACTAGTTTTTTTTCAAAATGCACTAAATGCAGGTAGGGTATCAGGCCTCTCAAAGGAAAACACCAAATATTCATATTCGGCAATTATTGTGGCTGATGCAGTTGAAAAAAAATTGTTCTGGATATGGACATAATTATTCAACCCATTAATTATCAAGGATTTTTTGGCGTTTTCCTTCATTATTTTGTGTAGCTTTACTTTAATAATCTCTGTGAAATAAAAAAAAGTTTAAATCCCTACAAAAGTTCTTGCTTTATTTAAGTCCAGCAATACAACTTACAATTTTCTATTATGGTTTTTTTATTTGCTAGCATTTACTTTACATTTAATCGGACGATAGGTACTTAATTTAATTTTATTTTTTTTTTCAAACTGCTTTTGGGAGATGAAAAAGCTTCCAAATACAATAGAGAAATGCAGGTCCATATTTAAAAAATTAAAGTTGATGATGGTCGGCCAAAGACAAAACGTCGGATTTAAAATTTAGCTACACCATTGTGTAGAGGGGAAAAAGTTGCCCCATTAATGTGTAATTGTGAAATATCTTTCCAAATGAGCCCAGGAAAAAATAAAAACCATTTGCAAAATTTTGATATTTTCTCTCTGGAAGGAAACAGGTAATTGGGTGCCCCAAGACATTTAAGAAAAAACCCTCTTTCCCGTCGATTTTTGATTTAAGGGGGAACCATATCTGTGGTGTTTTCACCTCCTGGAGGGCAAAGCCCTAGCGGGGGTGACAAGGTTCCCCAAAATTTTAAATGGAATTACGGGTCACCTTTTACTGTCGCTAGGTCTTTGCCCTTCAGGGGATGAAAATGTCAAAAAAATAGTTCCCCCTTAAATTAAAAATCGCCCGATACGAGGGTTCTTTCTCAAATGTCTTGGGGCGCCCAAAATTACTTCTGTTTCCTTTTCAAATGGCCACCTTGTATATATTAAAACTATTTATTATTCACAACATATTCAATATATATTTTCTATATCGTAAATATAATATAAATATACTGAACTCTATATATTTTATATGTATTTGCTATGGTGCAAATATATTATTTTATAACACAAAAAAATATTTTAAAAACAATTTTAATATGGGAAACATATTTTATAAATGTCATATTAAATATTATATATATATATGTTATAAAAAACCTATTTACTGTAACAATTACATATTATAAATATCATATAAATATACTGAAAGTGGTTACCTTCCATATATTTTATATGTATTTGCTATGTTGCAAATATCATATGACATAAAAAAAAATATGTTTCAAAAACTTATTTAATATGAGAAACATATTTTATAAATATCCTATTGAATATGATATATATATGTTATAAAAAACCTATTTAATAGAACAAAAACATATTACAAATATCATATAAATATACTGAAAGTGGTTACCTTTTATATATTTTATAAATATTTTTTATAAAATAAATATGATATTTTATAACATATTTTTTTGATATTAATATATCAAATTTTGCTACTTGGGACGTCCATGAACTGTAAGTGTCACTTACAGTCCGGGTCAAAAAAGTTACTTTTTTGACCGGGCCAAAAAAGTTACTTTTTTGACCAGGCCAAAAAAGTGTTGATATGAAAGGTGAAAATTGCTTGGTTCATATATCTGTCAAAATAATGTCACAAAAACACTCGACTTCTTAAATAAAAAACCCAAAACAAATTAAGGATACAATTTTATTGAAACAAATAGAAAATACCTAGACGTCAAAAAGTTGAAATTAGCATAATTAGCATTAGTTATTTACTTTGTAATTTTGAAAGTAAAAGAAATATTTTTACAACTAGTCACATTTAACACAGGGATACTTTCCTGTATTGAAAAACTTAAAATATTGGAATGATATTTATTATCTTGAATGTACGGTAGCACAAAAAATATCATATGCACCTCGACTTGTAGCGTGTACTTTTTTGGCCTCAAATGCTTGCAAACCTCGGCCCTACGGGCCTCGGCGCGCAAACTGCATCCTCGGCCAAAAAAGTAACACTTACAAGCCTTGGTACATAAATAACTATACAAACAGTGGCGACAATAGGCGAAAATTTTGCAACAACATGGCTGCCATCCATTTGGTTTGTACAGGTGGCGGCCATGTTTATGCAAAATTTTCGTCTACTGTCGCCACTGTTTGTAGAGGTTTATCGAGTGACTGTAAGCTGTTTGAAAGCTGCTCTGCACTCATCCCGAGAACCCTGGCTGCCGTTCTCGGCCATCCAAATAAATGCTGAGCATGTGAGGCATCACCCCATACAAGTACAGTATGGGAAAGTTGTGTCTGAAAAGTTGCAAAATAAGCAGTTCTTAGTACCATGAGGGATACATTTTTTGCCAGTCGACTTAGCAGATACAGATTTATGTTTGGCTTTGAGGCTACAGCCTCAATTTTTATACCCCATTTCATTGTGCTTTTGAGTCAATAAGAACCCCAAGGAACCTAGCTTGAGGAACCTGGTCATTTACTATCCCATTATCTATTAGAGCAAATGTTATCCTCTCTGGCTTGCTCCTGTTCCACATGACTAGCCGTGACTAGCCTATTCGAATTATAGTCGGGGAGCTGGCGTCGAAAATATGCAAGAGTTTTCGCAAGGCCCATATTTTCAGAATGAGTAGCATTTTAGTACTACAAAGCTAGGCTACAGTCAGCAGTTCCAGTTCCGGGACACCTGGCGCTGAGATGCGCGCAAAGGTCTATTTTTCATCAACACCTCGCAACAGTTTTCGCAAAGCTGAAAATTTGCAAAGAGCATGCGAATATAATGTAGAACCATAATTTAACAGTCAGACAAAGAAATACGGGGACACGTAGAGTCAGCGCGACTTTGAAGTGGTCAAAAAAATGACGTCACCGAAAGTGTTTTCGCATGGCTGAAATTTGGCAAGGTAATAGTAAAAACAATATATTTATTGAAAAAAACAGTCAGACACTTCTATGTCGGGACCCCGCCAGTCAGCAGTCGATTAAAGTGATATAGGTGGTAGCGCGCGTCAATAGGCATATATCCATGTCGAATAATAATTTCACCAAAAGTGTTTTCGCATAGCTGAAATTTGGCAAGGTAATAGTAAAAACAATATATTTATTGAAAAAAAACAGTCAGACACTTCTATGTCGGGACCCCGCCAGTCTGCAGTCGATTAGAGTGATATAGGTGGTACCGCGTCATTAGGCATATATCCATGTCGAATAATAATTTCACCAAAAGTGTTTTCGCATAGCTGAAATTTGGCAACGTAATAGTAAAAACAATATATTTATTGAAAAAACAGTCAGACACTTCTATGTCGGGACTCCCTCAGTCAGCAGTCGATTAAAATGATATAGGTGGTAGCGCGCGTCAATAGAATTTTACTCTATATACATATATCCATTTCGATGAATAATTTTATTTTTATAATTTAAATTATTTGGAATCGGAAACGGTAAAATAAAATTGTACATGCAGTTAAAAAGTTTGCGGTTAGAAAAAAGCCCGATTCGTATAAATATTACTTGACCATTTAATCAGCAGTACTGTGATAGTATACCTATAGTAATTAAATAAATTCAGTTTTAATTATATTTATTGTAGTTTCATTAAATACTTATAATCATCGCCGATTTTATAAAATACAAAAAAAAATTCTAATCACATCTCCCGCTTCCCTTCCCCTAATCTCGACCTAACAGTACCATAATGAAGTTTCCGAATTCGAATGCATATACGCCTTATTCAAGTATACGCGCTTACGCTTGCAACTTACAGGTTTACACTTACTCATTAAGAGAAAAAAAATGTATTTTACCGTTTCCGATTCCAAATAATTTAAATTATAGAAATAAAATTATTCATCGAAATGGATATAATATATAGAGTAAAATTCTATTGACGCGCGCTACCACCTATATCACTTTAATCGACTGCTGACTGAGGGAGTCCCAACATAGAAGTGTCTGACTGTTTTTTTCAATAAATATATTGTTTTTACTATTACCTTGCCAAATTTCAGCTATGCGAAAACACTTTTGGTGAAATTATTATTCGACATGGATATATGCCTAATGACGCGCGCTACCACCTATATCACTCTAATCGACTGCTGACTGGCGGGGTCCCGACATAGAAGTGTCTGACTGTTTTTTTCAATAAATATATTGTTTTTACTATTACCTTGCCAAATTTCAGCTATGCGAAAACACTTTTGGTGAAATTATTATTCGACATGGTTATATGCTTATTGACGCGCGCTACCACCTATATCACTTTTTTTTTTTTTTTTTTTTTTTTTTACGGATATGCGCACTCGCAAGGAAATGTCCTATCACGCTCGAGAAGCGGCAAGTGCGCGGAAATGTCGGTGTATGTTGGTCTTGAAACGGTTCAGGTTGTAACCTGCAGGGAAAACCGTCGCAGGGAGTTTATTCCACAGCGATGCTGTTCTCCAGAGATATGAATTCTGATATAATGAGGTTCTTGGTGCCTCTAGTTTGACAGTAAATTCATGGTTACCGTCTGTTTGACGGGTTCGCCTGGTAGGTGCTACTCTCGGTGGAATCATACGTGCCAACTCTTCAGAGCATTTTCCGTGATAGTACCTGTAGAAGAGAGATAAATCGCCCACAGATCTGCGATGTTCGAGACCATCCAAGTTACGAGTAAGTGCGGGGTCATTGATCAGCTTGATAGCTCGTTTTTGCACGGTATTCAAAAGCATTAAGGTATGTTTGGGTGCTGCACTCCATATATGTGAGCAGTACTCCATAGTTGGTCGAATCTGGGCTTTGTAGAGTGTCAGCAATTGGCTTGGTGTGTACAGATGTCTTGTACGAAATAGCACCCCCAGCTTTTGGGAGGCCCTTTTAGCAATATCTGCCACGTGACTGTGCCAAGACATGTTGGTCTCTGCAGTAACCCCCAAGATGTTCAACTGACTCTGTAATGTGACAGCACTTCCAGATAGCATGATGTTTGGCTCACCGGTGCTGGTCTTTTTTGAAAACAGAGCTGCTTGGGTTTTCTGCGCGTTGAACTGTACAAGGTTTTTGTTACCCCAGTCCTCTATTATCTCCAGGTCGTTATTTATCTGCGATATTTGAGTTAGTCTAAGATGATGGAATTCACGTGCGGAAAGATCTGTGGGTGGTATGAGTGAGGAGACTACATTGCCATCGTCTGCAAAGCAATAAAGTGGATTTACTGTTTTATCTATGAGGTCATT